TGATGAGCTAAACAGTTTTTAACTTAGAAAATAAAATATTAAAATATGGAAACCCTGAAAAAAGCATGGCTGGTTTGGTTTTAACATGAATAAATGATTGTTCAGAAAGTCCACCAGAGCCATGTGGTTTCTTCAAACTACAACACTCTTTATGACATTCCACACAAAGCAATGTTGAACATTTAAGATTTAGATTTGGAAAATCGGTGTGGCCCCAAAGTCCTTGCAAGAGGATCAGATCTCTCTTCACCACAGCTTTCAAACCACAGAGAAATCATGCAACACAATCTCCAGATGTGTCTGCTGAAGAAGAGCAGAGCTGGAAACACGTCCCTACCTGGGTGAAATACAGCAGCGTGTGAGACGTCTTCTTTGTTTTCTGTGATTTTTTTACATTCCTGCTCTCCTTGGTCTGGATCTTCAGAAACATCACACAAAAATCTTTCTGAGGTTTGTTGGGAGGGGTGAAATCAGCCCGATTATCTTGTCGTGTTTACCCCACTCGCAGTCAATGATTTAAGTCTATATGTGTATCTACAGCATCTGAATCATCCCCCTTTTTACTCCTAACAATGGCTAGTGCTTAGTTTCATTTTAAAAGACACTTAGATTCAAAAACGAAACACCTTAACAAACCAAAAATGTTTTAATGGTTTCTCTTTTCAGCTGGCAAACAATAAAAGCGTGCATTGTTACTCATGTCTGGAGTAAGGAGCAAAATAGACTAACTCAAAGAGTCAATTATTTCCTCTGACGAAATCCCACTGAAAGGAAGAATGTGTGACATTTTTGCACATAAAAACAGCAGAAATCCAGTATAAACCTGTGTAAATGTATCTCTGAGTCATGACTGTCTACAATGAGGGAGAAGCGTTAGTCTGGCTGGCTGTGTCTTTAGATCACGGTCATTCTGTGTCAATTTATCTGCAATATGAAGCTACGAGCTAACTAAAGCGTGCTAACATTAGCCTGCTAACACATCAATGCAGGCCTCAGTCAAATACAGCTCGAGCCGGGGACACATTTCCACCACTTGAGCTAAATTCCTTTGTGCTAACACGAGGGGAGGGGGGTTGGAGGTGTGCCGCTGCAGGAGAGCGGAGGTGTGGCCAAACAGCAGTTTGTTTCGCAAATTATGAGAAATTTTAAAAGTGATTTTGTATCACTTGTATCAGTAGTTCTAGTTAATTATCACTTTTGTATTTTACTTTCACTTAGTTGTTTTGGTTTATGTTTTTGGCCTTTTTGCCTTCATTGCTGGACAGCTGGAGAGAGACAGGAAACACTGGGAGGAGAGAGTGAGGGATGACATGCAGCAAAGGACGGAGGTCAGACTCAAACCCACGGCCGCTAAAATAATTATAGCCTTTGTACATGGGGCGCAAAACATATCTGCTTGGCGCCCTATCATCCTTTTTATATTGATAAATGAAAGCAGCCGTGCTTCAAAATCAACTTTTTAATAAAAGGCATAAACACAGAAAAAGTTCCTGCAACACACTGGACTTCAGCCGAAATCACCAAATTGTTTTTTATTCTCATTATCGAGGTATGACTGCAGGTTTATGACACTGAGTGAAACTGCATTTGTGGGGGAAAGTGTTTGTGAAGAGATCAATGCTCCATCAACATGACCGGGAAGCTAATGTCATGCTTCTTAATGCTTTATTTGTTTATTTTGTATATTTAATTTTAAATCTATTTGAATTTTCTACAGTAGACGCTGTGAGTTTTACAGATCAACTTTTTTTAATTTTTTTTTATCAATAGTTCGATTGGAACCTGCACCTTTTTATTCACTTCTGCCCTTTTACCCATACACCATGCATTTGCACTTTGGATGATTTATGAAGTTATGTGACTCTCCCTGCAACCAAATATACCTACAAGGACAAACCTGATCCTGATTTGAATTTGAATAGTTAATAATACATGCTAATAGGCTTTAATGATCAGTCATTGCTCTCTGAAACTCACACATCTGTCTATACCTACCATCTTTAAACTTGTTCAAGGCTTTTCGAGTTAAATTAAGTCAATAAAACAGCCGTTCCTCCAGCGACTGGCTGTAACGATGTTTCCTCTGTACAGCAGTAAACTAACTTTAGCCTCCTTTTATGAGCCTCTGCGTTCAGCCCGTCCCTGGAAAGGCTCACTTTCTTTATGTGTTCTGCAGAAAACCTCTTTTATCCTGCTGTTGTTGAGGGAGAATCACGTTTATCCAGATTATTTCTTTTGATTTTGTCTCGACACAGCAGCCTTCATAAAGAATTTAAAAAAACAGGACTATGTGTACCTCTCAAGCTATGGTATACTCATACTAAGAGGAAATTAACGACTTTATTCAAGGATGGAAAGAAATGTCCACAGGGCAACAAATAAATCTTATTAAATAAAAAAAGAATTACTTTTCAATACATATGCGCTGAATAACAAAAAGCAAAACGAGCAAACTGCTGGAGGGCCACTGGCTCCACAGATACAAAGAAACGGAACGAGATGATAATGGGCTCGTCCAAGGTTAAAATAACTCTGTTAACTGAACATTTCTTCATGATTTATGAGGACAGACTCCTTAGAGGCATCTTTAAAACACACAAGAAGTTGTGGATCTCTGACTCTTTGTCTTAAATGTCTTCTTTTGGGGGGCGCCGGTAGCCTATTTCGGCTAGTGAGCAAACCCGATGTACAGCGGATTACTGGTCAGTTCCACCAGATGCATGTTCGGTCCTTCTCCGCTCCTTTACGGCAGAGGAGCTACCAGTATTCAACGTATGTGCTTTCAAAATTGGCTTTTAATGTCAAGCTGAAGAACAGAAAAATCCTTTGTTTTAGTGGTAAAATGTTGTGTTCCAGCGTGATCAGGGGAAATACTTTGGGTTGTGATGATTTATTATGCAAAGCAAGTTATTTTTCATGGAATGACAAACAGCTTCAGATGCTAAAACAGTCAGTGAGCATGGTGCCTTACAGCTCTGTGTTCCTCTTGTTTGGCTATGCTTGTTGAGCGGCTTTTTTTCACTTTTTGCCCTTTTGATGTGACATTTTCGCTAATTTGTGATTAAAGGGAACTTGACCCTCACCCATTTATTGCCTCCCCAGGTTCCCGTCAAGCACAGCCGCTGAGTGCTCCACCACAATCACTCTGTAATTGACTGTTTCAAACAGGGATTTAATTTGATATAATGGACGCAACTTGAACCTTTTAGCACCAAATTACTAAAGCGATGCACCCTGTGGTGATGGTCTTTACATGTTCCAGACTAAATTACCATAGAAAGGCTTCTGTTTCTAACAAAGGCAGATTTAAAATGTTTGTTTTTTCTGCGTTCAGATTTTTCTGTCACTGTTTATTTTCCACAGCTTTTTTTTTTTCCTTTATTTTACCAGGCAGAATTGCTTGAGATCAAATGACCTCTTTTTGGTGGTTATTGGTTATTATCTCAACACATCTTAAAGGTCACATATTCTCTTCCTCTTAAAAACAGTTTAAATAAGTCTCAGAGTCCACCAAAACATGTGTGTGAAGTTTCTTGTTCTAAATCCACTCTGATCCTGTATTTGATCATGCCTATAAACCCCTCTATTTCAGCCCTGCTCAGAACAGGCTGTTTCTGTGTCTGTACCTTTAAATATGTAAATGATCTGGGTCTGACCACACCCCCTCTCTGGAAGGACTTGGATGACTCGGGCTTTCTCGCTTCATGTCCTATTGTTTACGGTGTGAAGGCAGACTCAGAGAGCAGAACAAACACCTAGTTGTGGGAGTGTCACCCACCTGGGGGAGGGGTTACTGCCCGTTGTGATGTCACAAAGGGAAAATCTCCAAACGGCCTGTTTGAGCACACATTTTCTGAAAATTTGAGCAGGCAAAAGACGGAGAGGATGGACTTTTCTCATAATTAGGGGGTTGTGGACAGACTGGGGACATACAGTATCTTTGAAAATAAAATTTGTTTATCATTTTATTATCTGAGCTTTAGCGGAAATATGTTTAGCGCAATTTATCACTAACCTGTACTATGTCCTTTACAGAAGATTAGTTACGTCTCTTTGACTCCAAAAACTGCACCAAGGCACAACAGCTAGCACTGATTTTTCTCCTGTTAAATAAACAGGTCGACCTGATGTCCTGTCAAGCTAGAATGAATGCAACCGGCACAAACTAAACATTGAATCATCTTAACAACTGGTAGTTTAAATGTAAAGATTAATAATTAATAATACGAACATAATAAGACACTACTGCGCAGGACAACTAGCACCCTCTGCTGCATGATGATCTAAGCCCGAGTCGGAGAGAACACGAGTCTTCCCTGTGATAAAATGTGAAGAAATGTTGAAAATAAACATTTTTAGTTGCTTCACTCACTGAAAACGTAAATTGAACCTCTAAATTAGTGACTTTTGTGTTTTTCAACATTAAGAAACATAGGTTACCACTGCCCAACAGACCTGTAGTATTGCTTAATATGTAAATTATGTAACCTGAAACTTGAAACAGCCACTGTCAGACGAGGTTTTTCATTTAGGTAAAAAAAAACCTTCAAGTTGCTCTTTAAATTGGGCTAGCATTGAAGCTTGCTGCAGCATCTTCTCTTAAGATGTAGTTCTGGGCTTGTTGCCTTTATTTGATCGAGCAGTGGATAGAGTATGGAATCTAAAAGAGAGAGCCTCTGTACATGGGGGCACAACCTAACCGCTAGACCATCTGTGCCCTTACTGTAGCATCTTTAAGCACAAGATAAGCGATCCTAATCAGAAAATGACAGTCTGCCTGTTAATCAGGATATTTAAACAAAGTACCCAAGCTGTTGTGATGAGCTGCTAACCTTGATGTGTCATATTAATTACAACGTGATCAATTATTGATCGCAGACAGTGTTGTTTTTCTCCACTGAGAGCGCGAGGGGCTTTATGCCACAGAGACCCATGGGCACGGTCTCCTGCAGCTTAAATAAACAATCAGCTCTTGACAAATAGTATATATTATTAATTACCTTGAGAGAGGACCCACTGATTGAGTTTGACGTGGTACAGCACCGAGCGGAGACTCCAGTGCTGGACCAGCGGGTATCCAGACACCTCGCTGTAGTTCACCATGCCTGGAAGAAAAAAAAAACACACACACAGAAAAACACTTTATGAAGGCAGTCTGGGGCTCAGTATTCTTTATCACCATAGAAAAAAAAAAAGTTTTATGAATGTTTATTTCCCGTGTTTAGTGGGGGAGGTTGGAGTCTTCACTTTTTGATCAAAGTGCGGCCCTATACATCTCATTCTTGTTTACTTTACCTGGAGAATCGGGAAGCGCATTTGATAAATATTAATATCACATTAGACGACAGGCGAGAGAAGCAAAGCTAAATCTCCGGAGTGGGATCAAAGTGCAGCCCACCTTCTCCAGAAATAAACAGACGAGATGGGAAACATTAACCTAAAAGCACAAAAATTGTGATAGAAGAGGAGGCTTCACATTCCTGGTTTGATGCATCACACTTTAATGGCTTCTGGGAAATGGCCTGCGCTAAAACGGCATCTTTCTAGTCTTCTTCTAAAGGCTTTCCATGATGGTATATGTCAGCATTCAGGCTTTCACACACTCGGATGGAGCTAATTAGACGATCATTCATACACGTTTACACACCGGAGGCTATGCACCTTGGGGTTCAGTTATTCGCCTAAGGACACTTTGACGTGTTGACGTCAGGAGTTTTGGATGACCCGCTTTACCTCGGAGCCACAGCTGCTCACAGGGCTTTTAGATAGTAGAATATTTATATGAACTAAATTCACATCAATGACAATGAGATACCAAACACAATTTCTGTGTGTTGCTTCATATTCAGCTTTAACTTTGTAATTGACTGCTCTCTGCCATTCCTGCTTTTTTTTTTTTTTTTTTGTTAATTTGACCTAGAATCAATGTTTGCATATCCTCAATGATTTCTCAAGATTTAAAGGCAGGGTTGGTATTTTTTTTTCAGATCCACTTTTTAAGATTTTGGTTGAAATTGTCTTTAGGTCCTGACAGAAATGAATAACTCATGTTCTCTGAAAAAGGAACAAAGAAAATCCATCATCTGTAGCAGTTTGTAAGCCTGTAAAAACTTTGACCAGAAAATGATTGTGTAGAAAATGATGATTCACAGGATGTACAAAACCGAGTGAAGAAATACTCTACTAATGGAAACAGAGAAGTGTCTGAATCAGAGAAGTCTCGACACCTCAACACTGTTTCCTCGATGACTTGAAGGCTAATCCATCCTTTTGTTAGCCTTATTGTTTTATCATAACAAATAATTTCCCACAATAATCTTGACTACTGTTTAGCACACTGAAGAAAAGAACATGACAGATCAAATAAAGAAGAAAGCTGTGACACTTCAATGTGAGGCTGCGGTAGATCACAAAAAAGGAAACATGATATGCAGAGCATTCATTTTGCTTCAGCTGTAAAATGATCTGCATGCTTTGACAATGAAATCAGCAGTATCTAGATCAGGGGTGGGCAACTGGCGGCCCGGGGCCAACCCTCAACGTGGCCCTCAGGTCAATTTTTACATATCAATTAATTTGAAACATGAAGAAAACATAACAACTTCTGCCATGAAATCATGAAAACCAGAAATATGTCCATAACAATATCTGATCACTGGTGTATGTTGAGTTAAATTTGAGACATAATTGACTTTAATCGTTTTTGTATACTACAATTTGGCCCTCTAGCGGTGAGAATTAAATGAATGTGGCCCTTGCTGTGACCAAAGTTGCCCATCCCTGATCTAGAAAGAGATCTACAGAGATTACAAAATCTGGTCACATACATAAAAATATAGAAATATAATGTGTGGTTATGTCCATACAACAAAATATGGTGGTGCAAGATTGAGAGTGGGAAAGAGAAAAAGTAGCTATGATATGGGAGGCATAAATTAAAATTGTTGCTATTAGAATATTGTTATGTTGATTATTTCTTGTTTTGTATAAACACGTGTGCACCTAAAGACTGTTTTAAATCAGAAAAAAAGTAGCAAAGAATCCTGATGTTAAAAAATGTCATTATTAAAGGTGGAGTATGCCTGATGGGCACGTAACCATGGTTCTCACACTAATATGTGTCCCTAGCCTGTCTATAAACAACCCAATTATGAGAAAAGTCCATCCTCTCCGTCTTTTGCCTGCTCCACTTTTCAGAAAATGTGTGTTCAAACAAGCTGTTTGGAGATTTTCCCTTCATGACATCACAAAGGGCAGTAACCCCCCCCCCCCCCCCCCCTGTCTTACATTTCGGTGAACTGCACTCAAAAAAAATGTAATGACCAGTGACCTGATCTTATCCATGGCAACAAATAGAAAGTGGCAGATAGACAGCAACGTATGGAGGGAGGAGATCATCCATCATGCACCACAGAGACCTTCGGCTGTACGATCAGGCGGCCTAAAGGGACCAATCAATGTTTTTTTAACAGATCAATTAAAGATACAAGGAGTGGAGATCGAGAGAGAATGTATAAAAAACAATCTCCTTTTCTTCTCCTTTGGTTTGAACTTTAAACATGAAATAATGACATCATTACAAACTGTTTCAACACAAAGTTAACAAAAGAAAGAAGACCATGAGAGGAAAGATCTTCATTTTGATCCATTAAGTGGCAGAACCCCGTCATGCAGCACAAGAGTGCAGGATCAGGCCTTTTACATTAGCATCTCTTATATCGGGCCATAGGCAGAACTACAGACTATAAATCATCCTGTATCCCATAGCAACTGACATCCCTGTCATGCTGCAGCGGTGGGACTACGGCCATACATCACTATGACTGCCCCCGTCGTGTTCACGAGCACATCCAGAAGGCTCCTGGATAACGCTTGTGACTGAGACGCGTTTCCTGCAACCACAGACACGGAAGAGGGAGGTGGAAGAGACCAGCACTGTGTGTGTGTGTGTGTGTGTGTGTGTGTGTGTGTGTGTGTGTGTGTGTGTGTGTGTGTGTGTGTGTGTCTAAGGGAAAGATAAATTGAGACGTGAAAGGAAGGGGGGAAGGCAGAAGAAGTGTAAGTACTGTATGAAGCGGGGAGAGGTAAATGATGAAGGCAGGATGGAGAATGAAGCATCATCATCATCATCACCCCAAGTGACAGGTGGAGGATTACGTGCGTGTTAAAGATAAAAGGCGAGTTGGTGATCAACATGGAGAGCATGTGATACACGAGGCCACGTTCCCTCACATTTCTGAAGACGTACTTCTTATCATTAAGGTTCCTTCAAATGGATGTGTTTTGAGAAGATGAAGAAACTGTATAACCAAAGATGAAGGAACGCATGCAACAATAAATCACTGTTTTAACATGGAGGCAGGCGGTTGTATGATTTGAAGATGCTGCTGTGATTTATTTAGTTTAGACTAATGTTTTTATGTGATGGCAGTTACTGGAATTAAATCAACAAACATGGGGGAGAATGATGTGCAGCAACTTCCCCTTACTCAGCATTAAAAAAAATAGCACTACAGATGCTAGTCTAACTCTATTCTGTGCACTTTAACTAAAAATAGGAATTTGTATTATTGTATATTGAACAGATGTTCAGAATCAGATGAAAAATAAGATCTAGGAATAGACACAAAGCTCAGTATTAACAGTGGGTTGCACAGTTTGTTTGTATTTCACGTTGCCTTAATGGACAGATTATAGACCGGTGAAGAGACTCTGGTGAAGAGAGCGGCCAGCGTTAAAACACTTCCAGGTAAGACTTCCTCTTCTGTGTGGAGTCAACATCTGAAACATAAAGCATCACTTACTGGTCCTTAACAGCCCAAAGTAGAACCCCCTCATCTGTTCAGTCTCTCTTCAGTACAACAATAAATGATAAGTTATTCAGCGGCTTCACTCTGGAAATCTAAACGCTGATTGGCTTTTGTGACACAGTTGAAATGTTTGATTGATTATGGATTGTCAGCTGCAATGTCATCCAGACATCTGTTTATAGAGCTCAATACATTTTACCTCTGATTGGAGCTGGTGTCATAGGCCCAGAGAATGTTTCAGGTTGTTTTTATCTGTCCACACGGACTGTTTCCAAGCCTGCTGATAAGTAATACAGCTTGGACTACAAATGTAGTTCAAACTGAAACCAGAGCACTTCCCATGCTGACAATCCAGCTGCAACCGCCGCTCTTGCGGAAGTGCAACATCCTGCAGTTCCTCGAGTGTCCACTTGAGGCTTCAGGAGCTGTGGCTCATTTGAGTCGGTTATCTCTCAACCGGAAGGTCGGGGGTTCGACCCCCAGATCCAGCAGCAACATGTCTTATGTGTCGTTGGGCACCTAACCCCGATTTGCTGCTCCCGCTGCTTCGTCAGCGGCTTGTGCATGTGTATGAATGAATGATTAGTTACTTCTGATGGTCTCTTTACATTTCAACCTCTACCATCAGTGTGTGAATGTGTAGGTGTGACATGCAGTGTAAAAGCGCTTTGAGCAGTCAGAAGACTAGAAAAGCAGTCCATTCACCATTTACCAATCATCATCCCCCACCGCACTCGACCTGACACAGATGTCAGAGTGGGGCTGCTAAACACAGCTGTTGGGGGTTCGGTGCCATGCTCAAGGGCACATAAGTAGTACTCCATAAGTGACCTGGCACCTTTCCAGCCACCAGATCAACTTCCATACTTTGGTCCACAATTGACAGGAATGGCAACATTGGAGGGAGTAGAAGGATTTAATAATTGACGCAGTGTTTGCTGTCTTTCTGATGTCATGATGATGGTTTTTTTTCCATTTAGTATCATATGATTTTTTTCATACCCCTGAATGAGACATTCAGGCCGAATTACCAACCCTGCCTTTAAGCCCGAAAAGCCACAGCACCCCTTTAATATGGCAGGACAGCTACGACAAGGCTTGCAGAGAGAGTTTGTCCCAGTCGAAAAAGTAGTTACTTTCTAAAAAATTAACAGTAAAACTGAGAGACAAATGGGACCTTGTATCATCTATTTAGCATAAACACAGAAACACAAATGAGACATGAAATATGACGAGTGTGAGCGTTTGAACAAGGCCACTAACAGTTCCTCTACGAGGGAGCCGGGAAAAAGCAA